AGGTGGCCATCAGATCACCCCTGAGCCTGCGCTTTTCCAGGCTAAAGAGCCCCATGGCTCTCAGCCTGTCATCGTAAGGTCTGCTTTCCTGACCTCTGATCATGTGCGTGGCTCTTCTCTGGACTCTCTCAAGCTTCTCCACATCCTTTTTGAATTGTGGAGCCCAAAACTGGATGCAATACTCCAGCTGCGGCCTCACCAAGGCTGAGTACAAGGGGAGAAGGACATCCTGGGATTTGCTTGAGAAGCATCTATGGATGCAAGCCAGTGTTTTGGTCGCTTTACTAGCCGCAGCATCACATTGCAGGCTCGTGTTCATCTTGTGGTCAATGATGACCCCCAAGTCTCTTTCTTCCGCAGTGCTAGCCAGCGTAGCACTGCCGAGCCTGTAAGGATGCTGCAGGTTTTTTCCCCCAAGGTGGAGAACCTTGCATTTTTCAGTGTTAAACACCATCAGGTTCTCATCCGCCCATTTGCTGAGCCTGTCCAAGTCAGCCTGGATCACCCGCCTGTCTTCTGGTGTGGATGCTTTGCCCCAAAGTTTGGTGTCATCGGTGAACTTGGCCAGTCCGCTCCTGACTCCAGTGTCCACATCTTTAATGTTGTCCATGCCTACTACCAGATGCAGCAAGTGGGCACAGTTAGAATCACCGGGCATGTCTACACAAGATGCTTAATGGCAAGTTATCATAGCTTACTGTGAAGTAAGCACATGTGGCTATGCGTGCACATGCTTACTTCACAGTACATCTCCCTAATCCCAAGTAAATTTGCTACCTGCAATGCAAGCAGCGAATTTACTTGGCAGTGCTAACGGCACCATAGCCCTCATGTAGACACATGGCCGGGAGCCAAATCTGCTCCTGGTCAGTTGGGAGATAGCTCCCTGCTCCCAGGGCAGGCTCTGCTACAGGAGCTCGGGCAGGGACCTGGCAGCAAGGAGCTCCAAGGCCCCTGCTCCCAGATCACTTATCTCCCAGACCCCACTGCACCATCGTGATTGGGGAGCGGGGGGTGAAAGACCTTTATCTCCCAGCCCAAGATCTGCAACCATGGGACCTGTGCTGGGAGACATCTCCCAGCAACAGCTCGGCAACTGCAGGGCCACTGCTGGGAAATGTTTATCTCCCAGCCTAAGCCCCATGGTCATGAGCCCCACAAGCCATGTGGTTGCAGACCTCAGGCTGGGAGATGACCATCGGGTTCATCAGTGGCAGGTCCTGTCAGACCAACCTGGTGGCCTTTTACGATCAGATCACCAGATCATTAGATGCAGGGGTAGCAGTGGACATGGTCTTCCTGGACTTCCGGAAGGCTTTTGACACTGTCTCTCACCCCGTTCTCATTAAGAAACTGGGGGGCTGTGGCATAGACACCCACACAGGCAAATAGGTCGCCAACTGGCTGGAGGGCCGCACCCAGAGGGTGGTAGTGGATGGGTCCTTCTCAACTTGGAAGGACGTGGGCAGTGGGGTTCCGCAGGGCTCGGTCCTCGGGCCCGCACTGTTCAACATCTTCATCAGTGATTTGGATGAGGGGGT